AGTGAATTGAACTTTGCTCATTATTATCTATCGTATTGCTATTTCACTTAAGTCAATAACATTTCTTAATGTTTGTGCTTCAGCATCTCCTTTATTCACTTAAAGATTATGGCTTTATCAAGTTGCCTCAGCTCGGCTATATATACGATTTAGTATACGTAATAATTTGTTGTTTTCAGAAAACCTCTAGAAGATGAACAATGGTGGGAACTTTTCGATGCCCAGACTAAAAGATTTTACTACTATAATCCTCTTACAAAACAAACAGATTGGTATCGCCCTTCCACTGGTTCCATGATTTCTCTTATCAATATACAAGTAAGTAATTGTTCTTCTTTATTATTAGCGAAAATATTCTTTTTAACGATAAAAATAAACTGATGGGCTACATCTGTTCATTTTTAGACAAGAAACACCAGGCAGTATCCACCTAGTCAAGCAGGCATTCATACTGTTTCCTACCCAGGTCTAGAAAAGACTTTGTCTTTGGACCATCCTCCTAATCTACTTCCATTTCTTCAGCAACGTTTGATTCAACCCACTCCAAAGCTGCATCTTTTACATCCGCAACAGCAGCATCTAATTCCTTTTACCCCTACTAATTGTGCACACGATGGCTACATGGAAAGTTCACTGATGACCGGTTTACCTTTGTCTGCTCAGCCAATTTGGGAAACTACGAAATGTGTTGCTAACACACCTCTTCTGGTTGGCTCTGCACGACGGTCTCATCCAATCCCCCCTGCCTCCGGTTCCTTTGTGAAGTCACTGCAATCGTCGCCTGCAATGGCTACGGGAACGGCTTTCGCATCGAATTTTCAGCCTCATTCACCAGTTAGTCTCGTTGGACAGCTTCATTCCCCCTCGGTCAGTGGCTCTAGCGCTGGAATCTCTCCTCCTTTGCTTATATCAAGCCAAGGGCAATACACCTCGGATGCCATTTCTACCTGTACCTCTTACTTCTCCATGAACCCCACTATTACTATTGCAACTACTGGAATCAACACTCGTGTGCAGTCAACAGTGACTGCGTTTCCTAGAACCAATCCGATTGCTTCGCGCAACCACCCTTCTGCTTTAAGAGCTTTGGGGCCCCTTGATGGTCAGGGAGCCACTACATCCGGCTCTGGAGAAACTGAGGCTATCATTGATGAATCGGGATTTGAAAAAAAGTGGCGTGTAGTCGTTAGTTCTGCCACTCTTCCAACAAAACGATTTCAGCCAACACACGCACCGTCCATTGTTGCTGCCACTGCCCTGCCAGTGGTCGGGTCAGAAAACTCTCCTACTACCAGTAATTGCCTTGTGATTGAGGCAAAAAGGCCGGAGGCCCCAACTTTCCATGATGGCCAACCCACATCACCTTCACGAAGAACTCCAGGACCTCGACTGACATCCGACTTGGTTGATGAGGATATGGGAGATGAGCTTCTATTTCTCTGTCCGGATCGCAGGCTCCCAGGGTGCCGAATCTCAAACGAACATCGACATCAGGCAAGTTTTTCCATTCATCTTCCTAGGTAACTGAGAGTGCAGTCACTTTAAAATAGGTTGATTTACTAATATATCTAGATAAATCTAGTCCTTATTTCTCACGCGCTACAGATTACTTTTTCGCTATGAATAATATTTAACTACGCTCCGTCTGTATCAAGATGACAACTTAGTCTATATACTAAGATGTCGCCGGAAATTTAAAAGGCATTAAAAGATTAATTCATTTGATAGACGCCTGAAGATGAAGACTGAAGGATGATTATATTGTAGGCATGAAGACCAAGATGGGATGGCCTTTCGTTTGGTCGCAGTCTTCCTTAGCTATATAGTGTTTGTTAGCCCTCGTTTTCTCAACTTGATCCGCGAACAGGGACATCTTGTGGAACGTACCTTGTCCTGTGTCCTCTGCCATAGTATTCATGATGATTTCCAGAATAGGACCAGTGACTTGGTACATGTCTAGACGTTTTCCGTTTCTCACTGTCCAATGCTGGAAATATTGAATACTATGACAAAGGATCCAGTATTATGTCAGCTATATAAGGTCTCCCTGTCATCCTGGTCAAGTTTATAAAACCAGGCCAAACTAACATTGTAAGATTAATCTGAATTCTGCTCGCTGGTTTATGCGACTCCGATGCATCCGTATTAGGTTTTTCCTTCCATGTGACAAGCATCATTAGAGTCGGATACTATTATTTAACAAAATCTACGAAGCTAAGAATGCTGACCACTTGCAATCCTACTTACCTAATCTTGCTATATTAATAATCTATTCCTTGATTCGGTTGTTTGCTTCATGCTTTTGCCCACATTCGGATGTGGACAAACATACCCAATTCGGCTAATTATGTTTCGATCCTGCATACTTCCGCTGTGTTCTTCTCTGTTTCTATATGTATGTTGTATGTGTGCAATGCTCCTGTGCCACTGAAGATGTTGGAATACTTATCATGATCCAGGCAAACCAAGCCTTCTCATCATATTTTGTTGTCCGTCTTGCTTCTCCCTATTCCTGTTTACCAGCCTTAGGCTGTCCTTGTCAATTTGTTTACTCTCATTCCTTCTATTCAGTAAGCCAATCATTTTGTTGATTTCTATCTATTTTCTAATCCTAACTAAATAATCTTCTTGCCCTGCAAATTGTAAAGCTTTTGATACTATCTGGTATCCTGTTCAGGCAGTTCATTGTTCACTTTCATACGAAATGAAATTCTACATAACAATTTTATCTCGGGAGTTTCATCGAGACCCGCTTTTTCTTCTTATACACAGGCTGACAAGATTGATTGACTTACGAGGCATAACTCAGAATAGTTATAATTTATTTTATTATCTCTTACTTCCCCATAAGTTCGCTCACTTTCAAAAGTTAGCAGAACAATGAGATTAGGAACATATTCGAGTTCTCCAACTCCTTACATTTCCATAATTTTTTATTTCCGTCCTACCATTTCTTGCCGTTGCGAGATAGTTGGCAATTAGTCATGAATGATAACATTTATTTTCTAGTTTTTTTGCCTTTCTATTTCCTGGGCCCGGTGACTTTATTCTCACTTCTTTCCTAACTCCTAATATAGACTCACATGATTAGACTTAATATTATGAAGTAAATCGACATGTGGGAATCTTATATACAATTCGGTTCCTAGTTTTTTAAGTATGGCATCCAAAAAGTCTTGTCTGCTATTATTTTTAACCTCCATTATTTCGTCCCATCTATTAAATTCAGTAACTTCAAAAAATTTTCCAGGTTAACTTTTCCATATTGCCTAACAGCAAAGTAATCGTCCTTCTTTTCGAGAATTTTTATATCCTCTCTCCAGATTAGTTTGTTATGAGATATTGTGCTCATGTGGTTGGGTTTTATATTGCTATCTGTTGAAATTCCAGGATCATACTGCTGGCTATTTAGGTAAAGAAATGAGTGTTCTGCCACATCCGTACAAATGTAATGCAGTAACTTCTCTAAACCGACAAGTATATAAGGTGAGCATGACGAGTGAGAAGTATTTTCGCCCTAGCTCACTCTAGATGATTGAATGTCTTAAGATTGAGTTGATCACGATGGTGTACCCGCTGTGCCAATGATTTTTCCTTGTCATTACACCCCAAAATGCTCTCTTTCAGGTTGTACTACAGGTTCGAACTTGCATGCGGCTCATAATCACTGCCAATGATATCAGAATCTGAGTATTGGGCTTCAAGCTGTAGAGTTATGACTCTGGTTTATAAACATACTATAAAGTAATAGGCTTTATTATAATGACAAATATAGATCCACACTAGTACCACACAAAATTTGATTTTAAAGAGGTCTCAATTACCTTGAAATTCCAATCTGTCCTGTGAATCACTGACACTTAAGCTAATGGTGCTTTTTGAAGATTGCTCCTTGGCCTGTATCGAATCCCACCGGAGGTGCCAACGGGACCCAAGGGAGTTCAAAACCGTAGACATATCTGGATGCTAAGATCTTTTGGGAGACAATGGTTGGGAAAATTTTACGGCATCTTGATGCATACTCATGTCACTTTGGGAACCCCAATCATTTAAGGATCCTGAGTGACGTAAGTTGTATCAAGGTTACACTGATAATTTTAAAGCTTATTTACTCAATTTCTTGTCAATTAAATCATGAGATGCCCAATTAAGATCGTAGAATTAGTTTATAACATTTAGATTGGAGCGTAGCTGGACCCCATTATTATTTCAGTATTTTATGAATTTGTTAACAAATGGCTTCAAGTCACGAGGACATTATTCAAATTGGAAGCAAAAATACTCTGCTCTTTCAGTTGGCTCTTTTTA